CAAAATTTACTTTGGATGATGGTACACACATACAAAAAACCCAAAACAAACCAAATCCTCCAGTTCAGGGAATCTCAAAATTTAATAATAATAACTTGTGTACTTTTGAATCTTTTTAGAACAAGCCAAGTTAAGTCCAAGAGATTAAAATTCTTCAAGGAATGTTTCTTCAGATGTGTTTGTACAGCCGCCTTCACAGCTGCTTGAGAAATGCTCTGGTAATTCCCTTTTCCTCCAAAGCATAACACTATGTGCCAGTCTGTAATCACATTCAAGACAAGCAACACCAGAGGTGGAAACCACTGCTTATCAGAGAGGATGAAAATATGCAGGTGGAGAACAGGATGGTGAGGTTTATTTGAACTATGGGCTCACTCGTCATGGTGCTGCCTGCCTGCCTGCTCTCTGGCCAGCTCTCCTCCCCCTCCTCGAAACACACCTCAGCTCCTTGGAGTTAAAATTCTTCTGGAGTCTCTCTGCCAACTGAAAACCCTGATATAATCATTAGTCTCAAAAGTGCACTTTAGAAAGCATTTTATCTTCATGAAGGAAGATTTATTAAGTTAAGAGCAATACATGAATTGGGTATTATTGAAACTACATGGCTTTCTTGAGTCATAATAGTAAATTTTCTACTCTGTTGGCAGCAGAGCGCTATGCTTTTTATTCTCAGGCTACTCATGTAAAATCCTTGGTGTTATTTTTGCTTTCACTGTTAACCACTTGTGAAGTGTTTAATTAGCCTTCTCAAGGTAGATCACAACCTCAAACACAATTAATAAATTGATATTATGCCTCAAAGAGGAAAATCTCCTTTTCTTGTTCAGACAACACAACAGTCTGTATATAATATTCCGTGATGATTACTGTCCTCCACTCCTCTGTGCACTTGCTGCTTAGCGTGTGTTTGTACAAGGCCATCTTGTCAGGCTGCATCCTTTATTACTGCCACTAGAATGAAAACTAAACATCTGGATTTTGGTTTATATTATTTTATATATTATGAAGCAGCACTATTAAGTGTCAGCACTGGCACCAACTTCAGTGGAAGGTAGAATGTAAGGGATCCTTCCCAATGGATGGTCACCCTGGAGCCATCCAGGGATTTCAGATAAAGATGTTGCCAGTAATGGCGAAGATCTAGTTATTTTGTTCACCCACAGACAAGGATGGAGGCTTCTGAGTACTGGCAAACTAAGCCACATTTTAAAAACAAACGTAGTAGAATCTCACGGTGAAAGGTACGACAGTAATCAACTGCAAAACCCCTCCTGCACAAAAGGTCAGGAAGCACATGTGCTTCAAATGCTGCACGGCTTCTTTGTGACCATGAAGAGAAACACATCTAGAATTCAGCTGCAAGTGTTTGTGTAGTAACATGAGCCTGCACCAGGTTTTGTTCTCTGACTGTGCCTTGTACTGTTGCTAGAGAAGCCAAGCTGGACCTGCCTGAACTCCTGAAATGGAGGAACGTGTGATGGGTAAGAGATGTCAGCTCAGCACTCTCAAGTGCTGAAGAAGTCCATTCTTCACGTCCAATCCCAGCCTATCAAGCTTGCAATAATTGGAGCCAGGAAGCAAACCGGGGGCCAGAGCAGGTCTTCCGACTTCACCCACGCTCTGCCAGAGCCATGTCCTGCTGCAGCCTGTGCCAGAGCACTGATGATTTATGGTGGGTAGAAACTCCACTCCCCTGCTCCAACATGTTTGTGAAAAGGCTGGGACAGCCTAGGAGACCTGCTTCTTCTCCTTCTCATGTGGAGACAAAGCAAGGCCAGATTTCCTCGGGTTTATATGTAATTGTTCATGATACATGGCGGTCGGTTTGCATGAGGAAGTAACCACACTGCACACAATACAGCACTCTCTGTTGCTGCTTTCCATCTGTTGGTTACAATGGAACTAATAGAGTTATGCTGCAGTCCCTCTAAGGTAGAGATTTGTGCCTGTATGACATAAATCACAACATAAATCAACACTGCTCTTGGACTGCAACCCAGAAAGCCAACTGTGACCTGGGCTGCATGACTAGTAGCATGAGCAGCAGGTTGAGAGAGGGGATTCTGCCCCTCTACTGCACTCTGGTGGGACCACCTCTGCAGTTCTGATCCAGCTCGGGGGCAGCAGCACAGGAGGGCCATGGACCTGCCTGAGTGAGTCCAGAGGAGGCCACAAAGATGATGGGAGGGCTTGAGCAGCTCTGCTATGGAGACAGGCAGAGAGAGCTGGGCTTTTTCAGTCTGGAGAAGGTTCAGGGGAGACCTTAGAGCAGCTCCAGTGCCTAAAGGGGCTGCCGAGAAATTTGGAGAGGGACTTGGACGAGGGATGTAGTGACAGGCCAAGGGGGAATGGCTTTAACCTGACAGAGGGGAGACTGAGATGAGCAATTAGGCAGAAGCTCTTCCCTGTTGAGGGTGCCGAGGCCCTGGCACAGGGTGCCCAGAGAAGCTGTGGCTGCCCCATCCCTGGCAGTGTTCAAGGGCAGGTTGGACACAGGGGCTTGGAGCAAGCTGCTCTAGTGGAAGGTGTCCCTGCCCGTGGCAGGGGTTGGAGCTGGATGAGCTTTGCGGTCCCGTACAGCCCAACCCAGCCTGTTCGGCTGTGCCTGGCTCCCGCAGGGGCGGTGCCTGGTGCCGCGCGGTCACCATCCCGACTGCGTCCCTCGGCACCAGCACCAGGAACGTGAAGGGTGAGAAGGGGCGCAGGGTCCCCTCGTGGGACCCCCCCGACGCTGCCCACCCTGCGGCGCGCTGCCTGCCGCGGCGCGCCCCCTGCTGGCCCGCCTCGGCCTCAGGAGGAGGAGGAGGCAGCGCCGGTGAGCTGGGAGCCTGCGGTGAGGGGCAGGTGACAGCAGCCTCCACAGCACCTTCCCCACCCCCCGCGTTTGCCGAGCCCTGCCACTAGCCTGGGGCGACAGAGAGCAGGGCTGGTGCCGGAGGAGCGGCCCGAGTGCCGCGGCTGCAGGCTAGAGCCCGCAGCTTGGTTCTCAGCTTATAAATAAAGGCAAAAAGCCAGGTTGGACGGGGCTTGGAGCAAGCTGCTCCAGTGGAAGGTGTCCCTGCCCCTGGCAGGGGGTTGGAACTGGATGAGCTTTAAGCTCCCTTCCAACCCAAACCATTCTGTGATTTTAATCCTCATAATAATGTGAACTGTTCTAACAATTCAGCATTTACAGAATCAAAGTTGCCTGGGGCTTTCTAGGGGCTGACCACCACCCACTTCAGGGACTCAGGGTACCAGTGCTCTGGTGGGGATTGGCAGCACGCTCTGAGGGAACCTCCCAGCAATATGGCCTGTGCAGTGACATGCTAGAGTCCTGGACCAGCCTTACAGTGGCCTCATTTGATGGTATTTGGATGACACCAAGCTGAAAGATGATTCCAGGTATGCACCAGTGCACTGCAGCAGCTGTGTTCTCATGTGGGGCCTTTGCACAGGCTGCTTCATGTTACAGGTTTGTTCCTTTTGCATCCAGTACCTGCCAGCATTGATCTGGGCAGGCATGCCAAGCCTTATCCAAGACAAAGGCTGGACCAATTTCAAATACTTTTGGCAGACTACAAGTTATGTATAAAATCTCACCTAAACTGAAGCCCAAGGTGCCAACTAGTCCAAGGGCTGATGGCTCTGTGTTTCTTTGGTGGCTCCATCACTCCATTTGCACTGGCAGTAGGACAACAGCAGAGGTTGTGCTCCTGCCAGGATTGCCTGCTCCGTCAGCGCTGGCTATCAGCAGCCAGACCTCAGATCCTGCTGTGGCTCCCTGCTGCTGCCTGCACAGCCAGCCAGGCTGCAACATGATTATTGACAGCAGGGTTACAGGGCTTAGCTACAGCAGACTCCATGGGGATTGTCACTGTTCCCTGCCCCGACATCTTCATGTCCCCCTGCTGACTTCCATCCAGAAAGGAGCACAACTCCCTGCTTAGCATTCAATCTCTCCCTGTCCCTGTGCTCCATCCATCCTACCGCTCTGAGCCACCACCCAGCCCAGCTCTGATAAGCCCTGTGTGTGCTCCTGGAGTGCACTTAATAACCCTGAAGTACCTGAGGCAAGTTCATGGGAGGAATACTACAGATTCCATGATTTCAGCTAGAATAACAGGAATAGCCACTTTTCATGCCGATTTAGGCCAGTTTATTGAACTAGGCATTCATAGAGGGTTGCTGCCCTGAAAGGCAGAAGGCACAATCCAGAAGTCTGCCCACATGTTTGCCTATCTCCTTGGCTCCCACTGACTCAGGACCTGGGATGGAGACCTCAGGACTCAGGACTGGGCTCCAGCCCAGTGTTTAATGTTCTGTGCTCTGAACACTAAATCCTGCCTTCATCACACTGACCAGCGAGAAACCTGCAGTCCCTGCTTGCTGTGAGCTCAGAGCAAGGTGAAAGAATGGGAAATGGAGCTGCAAATCGGTATATGGTAACCGCCATGCCACTGTTTGAAGAGAAGTTTTTACATACCTGGAGATAGCCTGTGCATTCACCGTCACAGAGGTCTTGGGAGTTCCTCAGTTGCTTTGTTGATTTATTGCGACCCTTACTGATGCTTCAGCGCAAGACAATCCTCAGGCGAGCTTGTGAGTTCCTATCCAGGGAACTTACCCAGCCTCCTCCACAATCAATGCAGATGCAAAGAAGTCATTTGGGTTTTCTGCTCCAGTACTGTCTTTTCTGCATATTCCGTTTACACCTTGATAGGAGACCGGCTCTAGAAGACATCCTTCAGGCTTCCTGCTGACAAGACTGAAAAATGACTTCTTATGCTTTTAAACCTGTTTTCAAGTTGTGTGTTAAACTGTTTTTACACAAGTCACTTTACATTTTGCTTATGATCTTCCTGCTTTCCTCATCAGAACCCAAGTCCAGCTTTTTGCAGAATGCCATCTTGCTTCTGACAGCCTCCCTTGTCCTGACTTTTAGCCCTGTTTGTTTTTTTTAGCTTTTTTTTTTTAGCCACACTTCATCTTCTTACATACTTTGACAGAGGATGTGCAATGCGATGTCTTTCAGTTAGCTCCATACTGCATAAACCCCTTTTACCCTTTTAGCTACCCCTTTCAGCTTTTTTCAAGAGGCCTTCTTGCTGTTACGGAGTTCCCCTTTCCAAAATTAAGAAGATTTCTTTAGCTTTCGTTGCCCTGATCAGCGTGGTGACTCTTAAGTATGTAATGGTCACTGATTCAGAGACTGAGTAGTGAGGTCCTGTTCTCTGCCTTCAGTCAAGAATTGCTTCTCCTTTCATGGCTTCCCTGACCAGCTGCTCCATAAAACGTTGCTAACAACGTCTGACCCTTCAGCCTCAGACATAACAGCTCTGTGGTCTACATCCAGACACTGGGCATTTCCCACTGCAGTTGTGGTTCCTGCCACTGAGCCTCCCTTGTCTTCATCTCTCTTCAGTTAGAGCTGATGGAGTGAAACCTGTGTTATAAGGCAGTAGACTTACCATTACTTCTGTGTTGAGAAGTCACCGAACCTGTTAGTCTCCCTTGTGATAGGTGAGGAAATATATTTTCTGGTTTATAATGCCAGATTGAACATCTGTCCTAGAATGGAGTGCACCAGACCCCAAAGGTGCCTGCTTTTCTCTGTGGACAAGAGAGGGAGTCCAGACAACTTACTCAAATGTAAGCATCTGCTTTTGCATAGACAAATCCTGCCTGTAGCTCCCTGCAAGTTATTCTTGGTTTAAGCACTGTACTATTTACACATCCCAGTATGGCATTTGCAGGTTTTGTCACTGTGTGACCTTGCACTAAAGGTGCATCCCTCTGACCCTGCAGCCAGGCACAGCTCTAGGCAGTTTTGGGGACAGGACTCCATGCAGTGCTTCATGCAAGGCCAGGAACTAGCAACACTTCACCCACACACGTGACTTCTGACACTCTTCTGACTTGCCTTTCTCTTCTCACATCCTCTATTTTTGAAGAGAGAGAATTGTTACCGTACGGGCATCCATCACGCGTTTGAGACCTGTACAGCAGCACACACCATGCAAGAACTGTGGAGGAAAAGGCAAATAAAAGACGTGTTGGCAACTGAACAGCAGACGAAACTACTCATTTTTCTTTTGTGCTTTTTCTGGCTTCATTTTAGTAGTAGTCTTAGCTTTGACTGCTTTTCCGAATTACAACTTCTTTTAAAGAACCAAAACTAGAAGAAAGACGTAACTAAAAGAAAAACTTGCTAACAGTCAGTTTGTCTGACTGCAATGGATTGAAACTTCTAATGTGTATTTTATCTGTATAATAAAAGTCTCCATTTACTTTGCTGCCTGCAGTCACCCCTTAACTGTCAGGGACCAGCTAGGCAGCTGTAGCTAAGCCAAAGATTTTATTGAAGTAAAGATGAACAGAGTCAATGAGAATCCTGAACCAACCAACCGAGTTACACCCTCATGTTCCCAAATTAATAAGCACTATACGTTTCATTGCAATCAATACTGAATTTGAGACATAAATCAATTTTTACCCAGGACAAACTGTAAGATTAATCAAGCACAAACATCTTCTACAGATCGAAAATCCACTCATCCCAAAAGTTATATAAAATAAGGCCAAAGGACACTTCAAATGCATAACAGGAAAATGTGTTTTGTAATATTTTGCAACAAAACAATGATGTATTAATATTACTTGTAGGATGTGCCGTGACTATGAGCACACACAGTTCCCTTGCCTATGAACTCATGATTGTGGGGCTGCTGCACAGTCAGATGAACCAGGCTGAGGGCTGGATGCGTCCAAAGCCTGCATCCTGCCTGCTTCTGGTTTAACAGGAGGCGTCACAGCAGATTTCACATGGCAGTGAGGGCAGCCTCACTGTGCCATCACCATGCTGCCACCCTGCTGATTCCAGAGACAGCAGTGTTGAAGAGCAGCACAATCACTGCCCCTTCAGTAAGACCAAGTTTTCACCCATTAGAGATGAATGAATCGGGGATTAAAATGCCTTGGGCCTGAAGAGCATGACTGTGAGATCTGTGAGGGCACTGAGTTCCTGTGGTGGAATCTCCTAATGTTCAAAACTTTAGCGAATTTTAGCACAAAGGAAAAAGAAAGTAACGTATCTAACCGCCTATTTGGGGAAGGCTAGAAGTCAGTCACCTAAGAGTGACTTCGGTGTATTTTGCCATTATTAAGGAATACCTTGATCTGCTTCAGGCCAGGCTGGTGATCAAGGAAAACATTCCTCAAGTACTACAGATCTTCTCCAACATCAGGAACAGGCTTTCCACCTCTGCAGAACATTCCTGCAAATAGAATGCAAATATTGGCAGTGAATTTTAAATCTGTGCTTCATCTGCAGTGTGCATTTTGATCCAAGCATTCAACCAAACCACCTGTCAAACAAGTTGTTCAGAAGATCTTGACAGACTCTTCAACAAACTCCTGTTCCTTTTCCAGGAAAGTTCCACAAAGACTTAGCAGACTACATAGAAAGAATGAAACAGTAACTGCAAGGAGACAGGCGAAACCTCTCAAGGTCACTGACAAAAGCAAGGGCAGCACAAACCCTGTTGGTAATGAAGAACTTCTGCTATTGGAAGTACTGCTGTTGAACTTGCTCTTGAAAGAAGACCAAGAGCTCTTGAAATGTGTTTCAGACAATTTTTAGTTTAGAAGATGGAGAAAACTACTGAAAATGCTACTTAAAATCTTGATTAGTACAGGAGAACTTGAAGAGGACATTATTAACAGGTAATGAGAGAGAAAGAAATCCACTGATACAGGAACATGCTCTATTTATACACATGGGAAGGAAAAGCAAAACAAAAGAAAATCTTATTACTGACAGAAAAGAGGAACAAATAAAGGAAGACACAGAGAAAAGCTGTACCTTCTTCACTTCAGCCTTCAAATAAAGTCAATTGCCACACAGCCTTTTTAGGAAGATGATAGCAACAGGTAGCAGCAGGAAAGAACAGACTAGGTTGTATTTGGTTATGCACTTACACTGAGGTGCCTGGACAATGCACTTCCCAGTGTTTAGGCCAGTCAAAAATCATGGCATTTGACGTTTCTACACTGACTAAAGGGAAAGAAAAGTGGACCTGTGCATGGAAAACTGCTCAGCCCAACTCCGAAGTCCAGGAACATAATGAACTATTAGCATATAAACCCTTTGAGAATGAGGTAATGTAAAAAGTGACAAACCAGAAAGTCACCATGAATTTGTCAAGAATAGGGGGAACAGATGTTCAGAAGCAGCACTGGAAGGGATCTGGGGATTACGGGGGATCAGGAAGAGTCTGAACCAACACAGTGAGGCTATTGCAAAGTTGGCAAGCGCCACGCTGAGGTAGGTTACCTGATTAACCTGCTTATGGGATACAGGTGTAAGGAAGAATGCAAAGTTGAACAGTCCAGAGCAGACAGAGAAAATGAGAAAAGGTTTAGGAATTACAGCCTATGAGGTCATGACACCTAAGAGAATTTGTTCAGCCAGAAAAATGAAGTTTAACAGGGGATATGGTAATATGGTGCGCAATGGATATAGTGGTATTATGTGCAATGACACAGGATCTAAAAGGATAGTGTAAATTGATGCTTATTAATCGGTCTTTGTATCTGCTGGACACTGGACAAAGAAACACAAGTTCACAATCAAAGTACAGTTTAGATGCTGTGGAAAACCTTGTGGTTTAAAGAGAGATGAGTGCTGCAACATGCCACCTAGGAAGGCTGCAGAATCTCCTTTATGGTAGGTTTTAGAAAGGGATTAGACTGGCTTTTGGGAGGAACAGTCCAATTTCACAGCAGCAGCTCCTGCTGTAAGTCTTAGTTACCAAGTGTTTTGCTCCTAAAGGTGGTATTAATACACTTCTTTTGCTCTCCTTACACAAAATATGGTGGAAACCCTGACAGAAATCACCGTTAGCTACAACGTAAATAAGAGCGAATGTTCCTTAATCCCTGCACAAGTCAGAGGCTTCACCTTATGGCCTACCTCAGACTCTAGGCCCAGCTCCAGGGAAGGTCTTACTCGCCTCAGCTCTGGTCTGACAAGACCAAAGGGCACCTCAAAGCCCAACCTGGTCCCGAAAACCCCTGCTCAGCCGCAGCTCGGCCCCGGAGGCTGCTACACTCTGCGGTCACCCCGCTTCTAGCCGGCAGGGCCGGGGCGGACAAAGGCCGCAGCCCCTTGGCGGGCTGAGGCACCCGGCGGAGCTGCGGCCCCTTCCAACAGGTACCGCGCAGGCGGCAGCGGTGGCCGCCGCGGGCCGGACAGCTCCTCCCGCCGCCCGCTCTCGGCGACGAGGCCGAGCGCCCCGCGGCATGGCGGCCCCCCGGCGCGGCGGGAGGGACAGGGCCGCCGCCAAGGCGGCCATGTTGTCGTCCTGCGGTCTGTGGTAACTTTCGGGGAAGTTTCTTTCCCGGCCTCTGGGGGAACGCGGAGAAGGAGGCGGGGGCGAGGAGAGGCGGGGGGGGGGAGGTGAAAATCCGCGACCGCCGGGACAGGACGCGGCGGGACCGCTCGGAGAGGCGGCGGGCTGGGGACCTAAGGGGGTGTCCGACCCCGCTGCCTCCCCGCGCTCCCGCCGCGGGCCGCGCTGGGTCCGCCGGCGGCGGCGGCGCCGTATTCACCGCGCGCTTTAGGCCGCGGCGCTGCGCAGACAGCGTACCGCCGCCGTCCCTCCGCCCGCCAGCGTCGCTCGCGCCGCGGCCGCCGCCCCGCCCCTCCTCGCCTTCGCCCCGCCTCCCCGGGCCGCTTCTCGGCCGCCCATTGGGCGGCGCGGCCGTCAGTCGGCGGCTGGGCCCATCTCGCGCTCCCCATTCATGCAGTTTGGTTGCGTGTTGGTGTATTTTACTGTTTGCAATAAAGAGGGGGGGATTTTTTTTTGTTCAGTTTCTGCTGCAATTAACTCTTGGTCCCTTTTATACATCTTTTTTTTTTTTCCTTTTTTTTTTGTTAAATTTTGCAGAACGGTTGAAACAGTTTGTTGTTTTTTTTTTTTTTTTTTCCCGGTGGTTACATTTATTTTTTTTTTTTTATATCTTATCTAGATCTATATATTTTGCAATCAACTATTAAGGTGCAACTATGCCCAAAAGAAAGGTAAGTACGGAAACAAGGACAAAATAGGGGGAGAGAGAAGGGGAGCGATTAAAGCGGCGTTCGCAGAATTATCCGCGGGGTTTTGCGCGCGCGCGTGTGCGTGGATTTGGAGTTTTTTCCCTTTTTTTTTTTTTTTTTTTTTTTTGCATTTTTAATTTCCCGTGCATGTCCTAAAGCGGAGCCGGGGACGGGAAGGAGAAGGTCTGCGGCGGGTGTGGGGCTACCCTGGGCGGGCAAAGGGAGGCCGCGAGTTCACTTCGGGCCGTTTTCGCTGGCGAGGAGGAGGCTGAGCAGTGTCTCCATGCTGGATTACAAACAGCCATGGTGCTGCCGCTGCCCCTGTGGAGAGAGCACAGCCCGGCGCGGGAGGCTCCGCAGCTCACCCACCGCCTAAACCTTGGTCCCAACCCTCCCGGGCACCTCCGGGGATATTTTAGGGCAGATCGGGTCCTTCCCCGAGGAGGATTTGGGTCTAAACGGTGCTTCTTTCTCCTGCGTTTGCCTTTGTTCTCCTTTTTTTTTTTTTTTTTTTCCTCCCACTTCTTGTCATACCAGATGGTTGTGCAATGGTAATTTGGAGCCATTAGGCGGCGCAGAATTTGAAACTGTCCTTGAAGGAAAGCGGGGAAGGGATTCACCACCATCATTAGGAACTTTGGCTTCAAGGCCAACACTGACTATTCCCTTTCCTCTTTCCGCACCCCCCCCCCCCCCCCCCCCCATCGCCACCCTCCTCCCCTCAACCGCGGGCACCGAGGCCGCCATCCGCCACTACCGGGGCTGGGCGCTCCCCGCCGCCCCACTCTCGGCCCTTAGGGTTTGCTCTCGACGCCCCGCGGCTGAGGGAGGAGGAGGAGGAGGAGGAGGAGGCGGTGGCGAGGCCTAACACCCCCCCCCCCCAACCCCGCCGGGCTCTTCGGCTGCCTGCGGGGCTTCGGGCCGGTCCAGCCGCTCCCGGCCCGGGCCGGGGGCGGCGGGACCGGCCCGAAGCCCCGCGAGCGGCCGCGATCGTGTCGGTACCGAGCGCCCGGCATTGTCCTTGCGCGGCGCCGGCGACGACCTTGTTGTGGCAGGTAATTTGGCGGGAACTTTTTAAACGCGGCGACGTCTTTGCGTGGTGGCGTAAGCTCGGCGGCCCCGAGGCATTGTGGGAGTTGTAGTCCTGGAGGTGGGGGGGAGTGTGTCCGCCATAGTTCTTCTTGGCTGGGTACCGGTCTCTTCACCCCGTAGGAGGAGGGAGGGGAGGCAGGCGGTGCGTTCATGGCTGCAGGGTGGCAATGGGTGTCCTTTGCTCGCTCCCGGGCTGCCTTCAGGGCTGTGAGGGAGCTGAGCGCAGGGGATGGCGACACCTTCTCACCTCAGTGTCTTGCTTTGCTTGCAGGCTCCAGCTGAAGGCGAGGCAAAGGAGGAGGTAGGAGCTGCTTCTTCCATGCTAGTCCCCATTCGTTCCCCAGTTACGAGGCCCCCAGGGGTGGCCTGCAGCCCCCAGGGGTGGGTTTGGGGTGCCTGTGCCCATCCCTTCACCTGTCACCTCAGGTGGGTTCTGGGTGTCCCTGCTGAAGGGACAGCACTGGGCTGAGGCCACTGGGCCCAGCGGGAACATGTCCCCTTTAGCCAGTGGCTCAGTGACAAGAGTCTTCACGGCACCACTCCTGCAAGTAAAGAAACTTTATTCCTTACAGTGGGCTAAAAGGGAGGTAGCATGGAGCGAAAACTATTGAACAAAGCTGCGCTTTGCGGAAGTCATCGCCATAACGGCCGTAATTTAATAAGTTTTAGAGTGTGTATGGGGCTTCAAAGGGCCGGTTTATTCTGGGTTGTAGTTCTGAGAAAGCACTGCTGTATGTGCTTCCTGAATTTTAGTGACGTGTCTTTCTTTACACAGCCAAAGAGAAGGTCAGCTAGACTATCCGCTGTAAGTATCTTTATTGACTCTTTTCATATTACAGGCACGTAGGATGCTAAGTTCTAGGGGACAGTTACAGAGAAACTATTTCATCTTTTCCCCACCAATATTGTGAAAGGCATGCTTAAAGTATTGCAGTATTTAAAAGTAAAAATTCCCATTCTCTGTTTCTAGTCCTTGAGTATCAACACTGTAAAGTGTTGATACTGTAAAGACACTGACACTATAGACATGTGTTAGCTAACATTCAGTCTGGATGCATGAGTATCCAGAGTCAAGGGATACTGATTTAAAGATGTGTTCGTTCTCTGTAGGTCTTCTCCATGCACGTACCTGCTCACAGCTCCATAAATTACCTGCTCTCTTCTTATACTTGTAATCTGCCCAATGAATTTATGGGCCCAGCTGTTGGGTAAACTGAGACCTAGGGGGTGTAAATCTGTCATGTGGGTTCAGCCCAAAGTCACAGCCTTAAACAGGCTCTTGGCAGCCTTTTCTACAGACACTCAGTGCACCCAGCCCTTTTTTAAGCCATCTTGGAAATGCCAAGTTTGCTATTTAAGAGAGGAAGTACTTAATTTCAGTGAAATCTAAGCTGCGTATTCACACATAGAGTTATGTCCAAATGTTAATACCTTTATTTTTGACACACACTTGCCTTCAAAGCAGACAGTAACACCCAGACACAGTAATGATCCACTTACTACTACTGTCAGCATCTGTACCGTGACTACCATGACATAGATGTGGAGACATGGGTTTGGATAACAAAACACGCTGATCTGTCTCTGATGTTTTCTCCTTTGTAATACAGAAGGAAGCAGTCAGCTCTAAACTACTTTTTGTTTTACAGATTTCAGAAGTTACCAATATATTACTAAAACATGTATAGCATTTGTCTGACTGTCTCTTGTGTATGTTTTGTGCAGAAACCTGCTCCGCCTAAACCGGAGCCAAAGCCCAAAAAGGCAGCACCTAAGGTAAGTGTTCAAGATCTCTTGAACTGAAGTTGTACTTCTCTTTCTCAAGGTGTTTATAGAGGTAAAAACCCCATCCACAACTAGCCATTTTGTTTCTTCATCATTTTCTTTAAAGATTTAAGATTTAATTATGTGAGTTAAAAGAACGTGAAAGATGTAAGGATAATTTTATCCAGTTCCTAGTGAAGGAATGTGGTAAACTGGACAGGTTTTAAATCGGTTGTGATGAGGCTTTACTGCTTGCCTGGCAAGGCCATTCTGAAGTTTCATGTAATGTATTGCTGGGAAAACGATGCTTTGAATAGAGATCGAAGAGTCAGAGAAAGCATTCAAAATCATGTTTTTAATTGCAGTTTCTTACCATGTTTTCTTTGAAAGGCACGTTTTTCAGTTAGTTATCAGTTTATTGGATTTTAATGTGGAGATAAAGTTCTACGTGCCCGTTTTGTTAAGCTGGATATATTTGGAAATGTCAAAAATATTGGCATATCTGACAGTATAGTTAAGAAAGAAACTATTTAAAGCTCATTTTTGCTTTGGAAGAACAGTTTGAAATTTAAAAGGGGACAGTTGTGCAATCCATGAGGTGTTCCTTATACCCCTTTTCTGCCAAACTCCCCCAGTGGTCACAGCTTGGAGGGCTTTTTTTAGGTCTGTCTGTCAATATGCAGATTGTATGAGGATTTTGTAGCTGGGAAAAAGCCAAACACATAAAACCCAAACAACCCAACCCCAAACAAAATCCCCCAGTCCCCATTCAGTGTTCTTTTTAGCCTGTTCCCATCGTATATTTTCCATTGTGGTTTCAGCGGGTCATACAGGTGAGTCACAGGTGCAGGAGATGCTATAGTTACAGAAGGGGTTGATGGGCTGTGGACCAGGAGCTGTGCTCTGTATGTTTAAAAGCCCTTGCAATAGCATATGGCATGTAAGGCTTCCAGGTGATGAAAACTGTTCCACCTCCAAGGCCTTCTGTACTGAGCAGCAGAGATGTCATGAGACACAAGGCGGAGAACCCGGCTTGTAGTTCTGGGGACCGCACACCTCAGCTCTGTAACCGCAGTGCTGTGTAAAGCAAGTTTTTCCCATTGGCGTCTCTGCGGTGCAGCCGTATGCCTAGATGCCATTCCATAGGGCAGGAGAATCCAGGAACCCTGCTGCCCTGCATTCCTGTGGCTGCCAAGCTCTGGGTTGCATCTCCCTCTAGTGGCTGTTCCCCCGGGAGCAAGAGAGCCAACCATGGGTGGTTGCTCTTCAGCCCAAGTGACAGAGAGCTGGCTTGGGGATCTGAAAGACCTCAGCTTCTGCTGGTGAGCTGTGCAGAGGTGCAGAGGTCAGTGCAGTTGCACATAACGCGCGTTGTTGGTATTTTCTATTTTACAGTTTTTTTACATTCAGTTTTTATGGCAGCATCTCAGGGTTTATACAGAGAAGCTGCGTTAATTGAATCTTAAAAGTTGCAGAAGTAAGCATTCAGAACTCATTTTGTAAGAGGAAGTAGTGGTAAAAACAAGGGTTAATGGCTTTAGACTGAAAGAGGGTAGGTTTAGATTAGATATTAGGAAGAAGTTCTTCCCTGTGAGAGTGCTGAGGCCCTGGCACAGGGAGCCCAGAGGAGCTGTGGCTGCCCCATCCCTGGCAGTGTTCAAGGCCAGGTTGAATGGGGCTTGGAGCAAGCTGCTCTAGTGGAAGGTGTCCCTGCCTGTGGCAGGGGTTGGAACTGGATGAGCTTTGAGGTCCCTTCCAACCCAAACCATTCTGTGTTTCTATGAAGTTAAGGACTGTAAAAACTTAGTTTTGTCCCTTACTGCACAAGCGGTATGGTGTGGCTTCACTCTGCATTCGTAGGCAGTCTAGTTCTGTTGGGAGTGCTGCCTCGGTCATTGCCCTGCACAGTGTACACCCGTTGGACTTGGAAAGCATTGGCTCTCGTGCTGGTTTGAGGTCAGGATAGTTGAGCTGTATTTTTGGCTCTCTAGAGCTCCTAATACCAGATCAATATCTGGGTAAAAGGTTATGTAGTAAGAATTATGCAGGCATCTTTAATTCTTGTTTCCCCCAAGTGCTTTACTTTGCAACCTCCAGGTTCTTTAAATGTTCTATTTTTGTTAGAAAAGAGTCTACCTTTTAAACTCAAACATATTGAAAAACAGAGCTGGGAAAGAAAGTTTTATCACCGTGTAAAACACATGACCTTATTGCTGAGCTGATGTTGCCATCTGCATAGAAAAATAATACAATAGTATTAGCTGAGAACTAGCTGCGAGGATGGAAGGAGCTTGGAATTTGAAAAATAACATTGTTTCCTTGGGCATTTTTTTCCTGGTCTCCCTCAGTTGTGGAAGGGGACTTGATCCCTTACAGAATAACTGTTACCATGTCCCCAGGAATCTCATCTTGCAGAACAGAGCAGAGATCCTGGAATCCTCACTCACAGCTGTGTGCTGCCAGACACTTTCTCTCCAGTCAGTCCAGCTGTGGAAGCCAGTTTCTGTGTATTCTCCTCAAATGCTTTCTTAAAACGGGCTTTACTGGCAAAGAGCAGGCTGCAGAGAAATACAGTTTTAGCTCTGTTAATACTTTATTGTCTTTTATTGATGGGATAAGGAAGAGACACCCTTCTTCAAATGCCCCCAGGCCCTTAAAAAACCCTTATGGCTTACATTGGAAGAGCAAGTAATTAACACAGCTGTGCTCTCGAGTATGGAACATACTGATGCTGCTGGACTCCTTACTTGAGCTTCAAAGGTCTGAGGAGATCTGTTCAGGTGACAGAGAGCATACCAGCACCACAGTAGTATTGCAGTTTTAAATCTTACTGCCAAACAGTACCAGTACTTGGGGCCTGATATTACTGTGATAGTTCCCTTTTTTCCTGCCTCTCTTTAGTACTGGAGGACTGTTCAGCCAATGGAGGGGAAAAGGAGTGAGTGGAGGCATGGTTTTTTCTTTCCTACTCTGGTGACCCTTCTCTTGGAAAGATCCACTCCGTATCGCTGATAAATCAGTCCCCAGGGATGAGGAGAGGCCTGTTGGGAGTAGGCAAGGCCTGGGAGAAGGGGACTTCTAACACTGTATTGCAGTAGTTTCCTAGATGGGCTGAAACCCCTCAGCAAGGTCAGACTGGGGAGCAGGAGGTTAGACTGGAAAGAGCCCCTCACCCCTTTGGGTGCTGCTAACCTCCCATCTTAAATTTTCTGCAGTATTGTAGGATGTGATATTAATTGCGGTGAATTTTTAATCATCAGTATCATGGGAGAATTAGGTGACTGCCCCTTATTATATTCCATATCCAAGTCCACCCGTTAGCAAGCAGCTAATTTTTAATATGAATTCATTTATGTATACTAATAAGCAAGGTGCTGGAATAAGAAAGTATACTTTTTGTAACTTCTAGTCACAGAGGCACTCTGTCTTCTGAGTAGATCTATATATATTCGGTAATCTGTTCACTTCCCTGTGAGCAGTAATTTTGCAGATACTTATGGTTCCTTTGTTGGAACTAGGTTAATCAAGAGAGGAACTAAGCTGGTTTGCTTAGCGCAGTTACTTAGCGGCAGCAAGAGGCAGATCCTTGGAAGTGAAACTAATGAGAGTTGTGCTCATTAACGCACTGGGGTTGGGATCTGACCTTGCCATGTAGAAAACTGTTGCTACCAAAGTTGTAGCGTCAAGTTTTGCTTTGATTTAGCCTGATCCACGTATGAGAATCTGCACTTAGATAATAAATGCAAAGTTCTTGTTACTGAAGTGATGCTGTTGAGCCCCCAACTTGTCGATCACACAAGTGGCTTATTATAGTAAGGAATATTTCTGGCAGGGAAGGGGGAAAGTCCTTTGACTACAGCTTTGTTACAGTTTTCTAAATAGGCATTAATAGCACATCTGAAGTATTCTGGTATTTGCACTAGTTGTACATGTTCTTTTTGTTCTGTGGTATGTCTTTCAGCAGCGCAGCAGGAATACAGGCCAGTTCAACATTTTTTAGCTAATTTAATTGAATGCCTACTTAAAATGGGAATTCTTTTAACCCCAGCCATGGCTGCTTTTATATTATGTCCTTCCAAGTAGCACATTCAGGACAGAACAGAAGGAAAGCACTTCTCCTTAGGAACTTTGATCTCATCTTTGTCAATAGGAAGTTCAGTGAGTAGAAGGAGGTTGTACAGACTGTTTTGGAGCTTCGAAGGTGCTCATGCAGATGTACACGGTGGAGTGTAGCATAACTGTATCACGGTCTGTTTTCTTAACAGAAAGAAAAGGCAGCAAATGATAAAAAGGAGGACAAAAAAGCAGCAACAAAAGGGAAAAAAGGAGCCAAAGGCAAAGATGAAACTAAACAAGAGGATGCGAAAGAAGAAAACCACTCTGAAAACGGAGATACCAAAACTAATGAGGTACTTAGCTACAGTAAACGTGGGACTAAACACAGATGTATTGGTAATAGAGGTGCAGGAGCTAATGGCTGGGCCTTCTTGTCAGAAGGAGGTGTGTTTCACTGCAGTCCTGTACAGACAGACAAGCTGCAGTATCTGCACAGGGCAACTGCCAGGGAGAGCCTGAAACAGTAGCATTCTCCTTCCGACTCAGTCCCGCTCTATGCTAGAGCCCTTCCACAGGTGGTCTGTGCTGTTGTAGTGCCCCTCTTGGGGTTGGCACAAGAGCAATGCAGAATATTTGGGGAACAATGGAGCTCAGTCAGATTGCTGTCTAACCCTGAGCTGACTATGCATAGCCTCTCTGGGCCGCTGGATTGCCTGTTCTGCTCAGCACAGGTTGGTACTGTGCCAGAAATCTGGTTTTAAGTTTTACACAATTCTTTAAAACAATTCTTTGCCTCGGAACAATTCAACGAGAGGTCTGCAAAACAAACTCAGTCTTGTCTCTTGATCTGCAAGCCTCTTTCTTACAGGTTCTTATTGTATCAGCTGCTTACCTAAGAGCTGCCATTGGCTAGGACTGGCTGCAAGCTTCAGTCAGCTCCTGGTGGCCTTTTCCTAGCAGGTTTCTTGCTGATAGTAGGAGCGCAGCATTTGCTGTGGGCTCCCTTTGCCCCTGTAGGCACAGACCAGCCTGTTGTGTTCTCTGTTGCTTTTGACTGACAGTTGTCTCCATGTGTTGAGTATTGTTACCCAGTCAACAGGTTGTTTCTTCTTTCAGTTTTAAAACTAAACTTCTTTTTTTAGTTTCTTTGCTACAAATTACTATGGGACTAATGTATTACAAAGGATCTATGCTAGGATCTTTGCAGTTTGGATGTGTTGACTTAAAAAGTAACAGCTGTTTTTATAGAGAACAGATGAGAACCAGTTTCCCTGAAGTTTGGACAGTATCAATTCCTATACTTCCCTGTGACTTACAGAGATGAGGACTTGAATTTGCCCTAGTGTATGACTGAGCCTAAGCTAAAATACGTTATAAACTTCTGCCTCTTTGGAGGCACTTAACATTCCCAAATTAACTCGGATTTAATGAATACTCATCTGTGTGTTAATTTTTAGATGTCTCAGCTGACACGGTGTTGTGTTGATGTTTTCTGTAGTGGCTGTGTGTTCTTGTGTGGCTACACAAGATGTTGTCCATGTCTGTGCTAACAAACTAATCTCTTTGATGCTTGTTAGAATGGAATCCGATTAGCATTACCAATAATATTTCTGTTCTTCCCAAACACTTTTATAGGCACCAGCTGCTGAAGCATCTGATGATAAGGAAGCCAAGTCCGAGTAATGTTAACCCTGCCCTATATCTCCATCATTTGGTATCCGTACCTCCATGCTGTATTGTTAACAGAGAGGAATATTTTTATCAACTATTTTATAAATGCAGGTTTTTTTAGCATGAATTTAATTATGGAACATCTTCATCTCGGTTACTTGGGAATTAAATCCCTAACAAAGAAAACAAAAACAAAAAAAATCATTGTTTTTAAATTTTGTGATTGTAATAGTTTGTATGGTACATGGAAAGAATAAGTGGTGGTAGCTTTTGACTTCTGTCAGTGTGTCCCTTTTTGTGTAAGTCATGCTTACAGACTCCAGGTTTTAATTTTCCCCTTGTATGTGTTGTATGGTTTCTTAAAGTGGGGAGGTCTCAAAACAAATAACCGTGTTAAACATTCCAGTGGTTCTGTGGGTTGCTTTTATAAAGAAGGTGAGCTATTTTCATGAAAAAAAAAAAAAAACCTAAGAGCTGGAAATCTGTTGTTTCCCAAATGTAATTTTATTTTGTCAGTTTTGAAAAAAAAAAAAAAATAAAATAAAATAAAGTGTAATCATGTTTTTAAACGAAATACAAACATTTCTTTTAAAAGGGCAGGTTGGTTGTATGTACCCACTGTTAGGAATTTTGCTGGATTTATCTTAATAAAAAAGACTCCTCAAAAGCTGATTGTGGTTTGTTGCTTGTGCTGCAAACGTACTGCTGGAATGCTATGGAATTCCTGCAGCAGTACAGGGCCTGGGGCCGAGGGGACCTGTGCAGCCAGAATGCTTTGGGCCACAGCACAATTGGGGCTGGAGCCCCTCTGCTCCTCAGCTGTGCAAGTGGCTCTATGGGCCAGCCTCTTGGGAGCTGGAGTAGGAACAGGCAATGGCAGAGGAACCGCAGAGCTGGGAACAGCTTCCAGGTGGAGGCTGAGCTTGTGAACTTCAGTACTTGCTCAAGCCAAGGTGGGATGCTTGGTGTGGTCCAGCGCGCCTTGAGCAGTACAGATGTTAGTGTAAACTCTGAAGGGCACCGTCTGCTTTCCTTTTATGTGTCTGTTAACTGGTGTGATCTGAGGGGGCTTCTTTCCTTAGAAACACTGCAGAAGCTTAGAGACCACCACGTTTACATCACACCCTTATCGGTACCGAACAGTTTTCTGTTGGTGTAGGAATGTTCGTAGTCCTGGTCAACATCCACACTCTCATAACTGCTATTTGTAGTTTTCTTTAACCACGTATTACTCACAAAATGCTTTCTTAGACTCACATAGCTTCTCCTAGCATGATAATGTGTGTGTACAGAAGTGCTTTCCACCAGTGCAAGCTTTACTATTGTGGGAAATGATAGCTAGGCTGGCAGGTAGTTAAGTGGGGCTTTAGTATTGGTTTTTACCTTGCCTCATTTTTGTTGCTACGGCTATTCTATGCGCCTTTATTTAAAGACACTTCAAGTTTTCCTCTTAAAGCCTCATTTTATATAGTCTCTTCACACTGATGACCAAATACATTATATATTTCATAAGAAGAAAAATGTCTGCAATGCAGAAACCTTATCTTCCGCATTAAATTGTTTCACAGCCCAGAAATAGGAAATTCCAGGAGCTTGCATATTTTTATCTGATATCCAAAACCGAGGCATTTCAACACATAGCATCCTGTATTAAATGTGTGTTTCAGGATCAGTACCCCAGGGCATCAGCTGCTGGATGATCTTTAATGTGGATTTAATTTTCAAGGCCTAAAGCACCAGGGATTTTTATTCCTGCTGCACCACCTTCATTTGGCAGAACTGCTCTAAACACATCAGGGTTAACTGGGCCAGAGCTCCCTCAGCAGCAAAGGTGAGAGAGTATTTAGGGGCCTTTTCCTTTGCAGCATATTCCCTATCTGCAGTGACTTTCAGGCATACTCTGGTGTCTCCTGCAGTGAAAGCTGATGGAACCCCTTCCCTGGTGGAAGCGTGGTGAGATGCATGGATAAAACCAGGGAGATTCGGAATGTCCCCATTAGAAGATGATCCAACAATAGTTCAGATGTTATCCTGACACTTTCACATCTAAAAATGATTGACTGGATTTAGCCTGCTTTTGAGTAGTGAACAATCACAAGCACAGCAGCATGCTCTGCATATGTGCTACAATCATTTTTAGGGTCTGACTGGATGCTGCTTGAAGCTGATGAGAAATACCAATGGGTCTCTACTGCCTCGGGGAGAAAATGCACATTGGAATGAAGTTTTATACTTGTGTATCATCTCCCTGCCCCCAGTGGTTTCTCTAAAAGGGCTTGAAATAGCAGCTCCAGGTCTGCAAGGAAGGTGAGCTCCTCCAAGTCTTGGTACCACTGAACCATTTAGCTTTAGTCACTGAGCACTTCAAGCACTGTTATTTAAACAACAGCAGACACTATGAATATGGATGATATTCTTAGCAAAGGGCTCATCTACATGCCAAGGTATCACCAACCCCTGTGTGCTAATTGAGGTCGTTCTGTATGTCAAGGCATGTTTCTTCCTTTTCATCCGGAGGTTGTTCCACCAAAACATACAATTGAGTGGTTGGTTTTGTTTATTTCTTCCTCTCCTAGCGCCAAGGCAAGAGTTGTTCTTAATTCTATAACTATTGTTATAATCAGGCTCCTGTTTCAAATAAGTACTGAAAATTGCTTCACTTTTCAGACAAACCTCGCTCAAATTCATAACTTTTCTGAGCCATGGGGTATTGAGCAAGTTGCACAACTGAATAGATCGCCTGCCTTGTGCCAGGTCCTCCTCATCTGTTGGTCCTGATGTCTAGACACCGAATCAAAGGCAAGCTCCATGTCAGTTTGCAAGCTTTGCTTAGCTTATGGTTGTCCCAAAAGCAAAGGTTTCAAAGGGGGAAAGCTTTTCTACTGACCAGTCAGCTGGGTGCACCCACTTTTGGGTTCAGTTGCAGTATGTGGGAAGCCACCTTCCCCGTGATCCTTGGGTGCCACACAGCAGTGCCCTGGGTGCGGGTGGGAGATGTCTGCTCATTCCAGTGCTGTTTGTGAAAGGTTGGGATCGTTGCTCGGCAGGCAAAAGCACTGCAGGAGCTTGATTATTACTATTAATCGTAACAATTAGGGCCTTAGGAGATGGGATGCGGTGAAGAGATTCATGAGTCTAAAGCTAGTGATGGTTCTGAGGGGCTATAAGGATGTTTTTAGCTGGGGGGAAAGATACACAGTGAGGCTGGGAAGAACTTGCAATAGTGAGATGCCCGTGTAGCTCACGGGTTATTGGACAAGACATGGGTGCAATTGTTGGCCTGGATTTTGCAACGAAACATGGTGCAAGGAGGTGTTAATGCTGGTTATAATGTTTTGGATACTCTTTTTGAGGTAGTTTGAAAACCTTACGACCTGTTTGTCATGCAGACAGTGAGCACTGCTGATGCTGTTACCTGCTAAGCAGGAAGCCTGCAAATCCTCACATCTTACATGCAGAGAAAACCCAAGGTGAATGCAGTCTGCAGTGTGCCCCAGTGCTGGGAACCCGGATGACCAGTGTCAGGCCCAGGACAAGTCGTGGTGTTGAGAGCAGGGGCTTGGAACTGGATGAGCTTTAAGGTCCCTTCCAACCCAAAGCCATTCTGTGAGAGGAGAGCAGAGTGGTTACAATGGGAATCAGTGCCTGGGGCCACGTTACCCTGTCACATAGAAACACCGACAGCGTACAGTGGCAACGTCAGTACAGTGAGCTGACAGTGAACAATGACCCCATTGTAGTGCAACACTGAGGGGATCATGTTAATGTTTCAGACTTGTCTTACTGCTGAGGGGGTTCCTCATAATGACTTTATTTAGTAGCAGTCATTGGGCAAGCAAGGCTCTTCACTAGGACTTTTGTCTTGTCATCCGTGCTAGGCTTGGTGCATTAATACAGCTCACGATGTAACTTTTGGTGCAGGCTCCTAGCTCAGCATGGGGACGAGGGAACTTCGGATGCCTTTGAAGTTTAAAAGAAAGTGCTGAGACTTCGCATTCCTTGCAATAATGCATGTTCTTGTTGGATCCTCAACAGAACTTGGGCAAGCATTTGCTTATTGTTTTGTCAGAACAATGAAAGGCTTCGAAAACCACTGATCACCATCCTGGAAAGTGAGGTCTGAAATAAAAGGAAGTGTCTCCAGACTCTTTCCTGGTGTCCACCATCAGCAATGTGCTGGGGCAGCAATGGGAGAGAAAAAGCATGGCAGAAAAGGAAAAGCACAGGGAGGTCCTTGGGATTAAAACAAAAGGGTAAACGGGAGAAAGTTAAAAACAACCCAGTCCCCCATACCACAGACAAGGCGGGGTTTTAGGTACATCCTGCATCCACCTCTGCTCCTTTGACTGAAGCGACTGCACGCAGGAGCCAGAAAACCCAGGTCTGATTTGCAGAACGAGAGCAACTCCCTGGTAGTTAATGGAGTTACACTGGTGTTAATCTGATGAAGCAGAAAGCAAATTGAATAGAAGCGGATGGCTCTTCTTTCTAACTGTCCCACTGGTGATGTTCCTTCCCCATGCAGCTGGTGTGGGAGCCCCTGCTCTGAAACCTGATGCTCTGGACAGGCTCCAGAGAGCCAAGAACACCCCGTGGGCCCCGCTGCTGCCTGGCTCTCCAAGAGCCTCTCCTTTGGAGAGAACAATGTCAACGTGGCGTCCGGCCAGAGACCATCCCAGTGCCCCAGGGAGACGGGAGCGGGTCACCAGCACGCATGGAGCCGGGTGACGGCAGCCAGGGGTGGCTCTGTGGGCCACCATCCCCTGCTTTTGAAGCAGCGTGGTTAGGACTGGGCTCAAGGAGGGCTGCTCAAGCCTTCATCCACCCCGACGCTGCTGGAGGAGGACAGCGAGGGGCGAGGGTCGCAGGGGAATGCAACACTGCCTTCCTCCTGTGGCACCAGCGAGGGGACTGCTTGAGACGTGTCAAAGGGAAACATGCCTTGGGAGACATGGTCCAGGGTGAGGTGTCCCTACCCATGGCAGGGCATTGGAACTGGATGATCTTAAGGTCCTTTCCAACCCAAACGGTTCTATGATTCTGTAAGTGATGTCCAAATGTGGTAGAGTGAACTTCAGAGTGACGTAACACCTGAAAGCGGTGAAATGGAGTAGGTGCATGTGTGATATAAAGGGAATTGAATCACTAATTAGAAAGCTCTCTTTCTGAAAGAGTGGAAATCAAACCGACGCTATAAAGCCCTCAAAGGCATGTTAATACAATTGGACACATGTTAAACATTTCCAGACGGTCTTAAAAGAAGGAGGGGGAAAGAAGCATAAATAACACAGGCAAAAATGCTGCATTGAAACTTAAAAACAGAGTGGTCAAGATCACTTCTCCCTCCCTGTGCCAGCATCCCCAGCGGTGGGTGCCCATCCCAGGGCCCGGCTCCTTGGTTGACCATAGGGAAAAGCCTCCCGGCCAAGCGAGGTGTGTTGCTTTCATTAGCGATGAAGGGTAACGCAAGCCTGGAATTCACAGTCAGAGCTGCTTGTGAGTTATTTGAGAGCCAAACCCCAGAGAAAAATGGCCAGGGTTTTGTTTGTTTAACGTTAACAATTCGGGGAGGGGGTGGAAGAACATTTCTTGGAGCTAAAACCAGATGTGAGGCATCTCGGCCACAAAGCTTTCTGGTTCTCTTCTGTTTGTTTTTTCCCCCGCTAAGATAA